ATTTCGTTTGTTGTACCCCTCCCTATCCTACAGGAAAGTTGTGATCTTTTCACTATGCTTGGTGCTTTATTTCTGGATAGGCTATATGTAATTCAACATGTTGGAATTTAAAGATGCACATTTATTCTTTAGGTTTGGTGTAAAATCAGATTGTGAATAATGGGATCAGTCTGCTCTCCATTTTCTTTTTTATTCTAGCCTAGCCAGAAGTTATAGATATACATGTAAATGTAAATATGTATCTGATTAAGCCATTTTATATATTTCAATGGCCATGTCAAATTTTAATTAGCAGATGATGTCAACAGTTACAGTGCACTCAAAATAAGAGTTATAAAAATCTTCATAGCACAAAATTCTAAAAGTTTATTCATTTAATACTAAATTGTATATTTATATAAAATACCTACATAACAAATGTCTGGGTTGAGACATCTAGTCCCTCATAGAGCTATATTTCAGTAATGAAAAACTGCACCTGAAAATATTTTTCCTTCCTATAAGCATAAATGACCTCTTTTAAAAAAGTATTTATCATTAATTAAGATATTTATCATTAATTAAGGATATAGCACTATACCCATCTATCCTTAAAAAGGGGGAAAAGATCTGTTTGTGAGAATAAGGAAGTGCAGCACTGTATTTTTTTTCTCTTTGGCATTATATCACCATCTGGAGGTTCAATATGCCTTCCACTTGGGTTCATTGCACAAGCCTATGTTCTCTTTTCTGGGAGTATTCACAATATGGTAGAGAGATAAAAAAGTAAAAGAGTGTTAACAAATTGAACTGCAAGCCTACCTATTTTCTACTTTACTAAAGCAGTGAAGTAGTCCAGATTTATTTGAAGGTGGTGTTGTTTTCATCTTATAAAATCTACTATAATATTATGATGTTCCATGTAAATTTTCATGTGCTGGCATGCTTACGAGTTAATAGTGTTAGAGAATGCTCAGCTCTCAACATGAGGGATTGTTTGTGGTGAATTGCATTACATATGTCATCTATTTACTGAAAGAATATGGTGTTTAGCAAAACTACCTGCTGAGCAACATAATAAGACTTTTGTACAACGTACAAATTACTTATTATTGTATTTTATTTTTCTATGATTTCCTAAGAAGCATTATCAGGGTCTTACAGATGGAGTAAGCCTGTTTATTAAAATATCTATTAGCAAATAAAAGTTACAGTTCTGGTGGTTGAATTTGTGATTTTTTTTTTTTTTGGTATTGTTGTATTGATATATCTTTAATGTAATTTATGTTAGTCTCTTAAACTTAGATGCTCTTTAGACACTTCAATAGTTTTGGATGTAAAATCATAGTTATAATCTATCAAAATAAATAATGTCACTAAGATCTAGGCAAAGTCACATAACTCATTATAAATAAGTGAAACACATTTTTGTAGTGATTTTACATTGGCAGAATATTTTGTGAGATTTGAGTATTGAATTGAATTGGTCGCTGCAGGGTAGTACTGTATTACAGATGATAAAAAGACACACACTACTTCCAACTGTTCAAACACAGGCTTAGACCATCAGTGTTCATTTCAAATATTTCCTATAAATTTTAAATTAGGGATTTTCTATATTCTTTTAAAGTTTCTATTAAGAAAATACATAAAAAGTTTCCTGAACTAACTGGAATGGGGCTGTACTCATATCTCATTCTTATCTTTTTAAAAATAATTTCCCTTATATAGTTCCAAAGGCCAGTATTAAATTAAGACCAGTAAAGAGAGTATTTAAAACTCTCTTCTCTTAAACAGGTACCATAAGTAGCCTTAAGAAAAATCACATACCATTTTTTAAGCTTGTTATTGTCATAATAGAGACAATATTTGTCAAGAATAAAACTAGAGTCAAACTAGCTTCTTAAATCAAGTGGAACAATTTTATGCTGAGCCTGAGTGTACTCTTTTCTTTATTCATGATAGTGTGTATACATACACCAAAGAGAAAAAGAGAGAGAGAGATGAGCGCCCTCCAGAGAGTCTGGTTATACTGCAATCCCTTTCCTCCAGTCAGATCTCCCACACTCACACACGCGTCCTATGTGTTTCAGGCTGACTGAGCTGAGGATTCCAACTGCAGTCACCATATGGGATCCCACTTCTCTTGAGCGGTGCCTTACCATTGTTCTATGGAGCCGGTCCTCTGTACTTTTGAGAGCAATTTTAGTTGGCAGAGAAACAAGACAGTAGATTCAATCATAAGAAATACAATTCAAGGCTAACATTTTCAAGAAAGACATTTTCTAAATGATTGAAAAGATGGGTTTTATGACCACTATTTCATCTCTGGTAATAATAATAATCAACTACACTCACCTAACAAAACTATTTGCATAATTTTTTGACCAAATAATTACCTGTCTGCCCAAATTTACTGAAAAATTGAATGTTTAATCTGCCCATGTTATTGCAAGTTTTCACCAAATGTTTTGCGCTATGCAAAAATAGAACTCACCTTAATGGTAGAAAATATAAACTTCAAACAGCAAACAGTAAGTTTGTCCATAGAAGTTTTGTGGAACATAAGGTCTCTGCTTATCTCTAAGAAAAAAAATAATGTTATATTCTGACTATATACAAATTAGCTTCTATCTGTTATTAAAGTGAGACATAATAACCAAGAACTCAGGAAAATTTTTAACACCTCCCTGTAAAAGCATTCAGAGATAGAAATGAAAAAACTGCCCCATTAAGGGGGTGGGTCAATCTCTTTCATATAATAAACATTTTCTTTTTTTTTTTTTTTTTGGAGAGGTTTTCACTATAGGGCGCGTGCGCTCGCCAGACAGACAGAGAGAGACATAGAGACAGAAAGCGAGAAATCACCCCCCAGGGGGGATGGTCACGCCGCAATCCCTTCTCCTCCATTCTCCTCTAGGGATCTTGGGCACGCACGCACACGCGCCCGGCGTGAGTTTTAAGCCACCGGGTCTGGACACGAACCGCGGTCGACTACGTGGGAGTCCAGCGACATAGCCATTATGCTAACTGCTGGTTCCCTCATATAATAAACACTTCAGGACAAAGGCATACATGTTCTTCAGAATTGAAATGGAGTCATTTGTGTCAATCCTGATTAAACAAATCTGGAAAGGCTATGTGGTGCTTTCTCACACTAGTATACCAGATAACAAGAACTCCTATTTAAAGAACTCTGCCAGAACCACAACCTTGCACAAAGACTACTTTAACCTGACACAAGGACTATTTCTGCAAAAACATCTACCCCCCAAACTACCTGTCAAACTGATGACAATGACATCAGTAACAAAGGGTGTTATCAATTCACCCTCATTACTAATTTCAAAACAATGATGTGAACCATTTACTCCATCCCTCCTGCTTATGGTTTTTGCCATTAAATCCTGTCTGAGGATTGTTAGACCTGGGTGAGCATGCTCAAGGCTACCTGAATAATATTCATTGGGACTGCAAGCGAGGTGTAGTTCTCATTCTTACACCCAAATAAACTGCTTTTAGTTTATATGTTTTGCCTCATTTTACTTTCATTTTTAGGTTGACAAAGAAGATATGAAATTATTTATTGAATGTCTCCTATATGCCAAACATTTATAGTGAGTTATTGCTTTAATCCACAAAACCACCAGATGAGATAAATAGTACCTTTTTGAAGCTCAGGAAGCTTAAGTGCAGAGAGAATACATACTAATAAGTTATATATATATGTATTTATATACATTCCATTTTAGAAAAACATTGTATATTAATACTTTGGGATCTATTACTACAGGATTTTTGTTCGTTCATTTTGTTCTGGCCTTTCAACAGTCACTAGCAGAACCACATTGTTATTCATTGTCAAAATAACAACTACAATTGGAAATGTGGAGAAGTGCCAAGAAGTACCCCATACTTTGACATAATTCCTTCTAAGTTTTTTTTTCCTCCCTGCCCTCCTAAATCTATTTAACAGGTCTGATTATAAATGTTAAGTCTAAATTTACTACCCTAGTAAAGATAGGGTGGTAAACAGAACACAAGCTACTGGAAAGGGGAAAACAAACAAACAAAAAACAAACTCAAATCCCTGGCTAAGAAGGGAAATGAAGAAAACTCTTTGACTAACCATGAAAGCCCATTCTTTGGTTGGGGGTGAGGGGTGGGGCGAACTGAAAGGTCGACCAAAAAATTCCTAGATTCTTGAAATGATTGGCTCTGTAGTCTGTGCACTGGAAGCCATAGTAATAAAAAGAAAGGGGAAAGTACCTGTCTAAATAGTCTCAAAATCAGGGTCATTTGTTACTATAAAATGAAGTGGGATTTAAGGTGGCTAACTTTTAAGTATTGACTATTAATGCCCTGGCTGACCACATGCTGATTTGACGCTGGGGGCTATAATCCAATCACACAAGATTAAGCATCGTGGAAATCTCTGCGGGAAACCAGAACTAAGAAAGACGATTACAGACATACTTCCGTTGCCAAATAATGCCTGTCTCTTTACACCGTTTTTCTCCTCTCACTAACTACATGAACAGCTTTGCCGCTCCAGGACTCAGGGTCTATGATCTGTCAGATCCCAGAGGCCGGCCAATGTCACGGGAAGCCGACAACATCTCGTCTTGCTGAGCAAAGAACGCTGCGCCCTGTAGTCACTGCCACCACGCTGCACCGGTGCGGGTTAAAAAGCCAAGGCCTTCTGCGGCCCGTGGGCGCCACGCTCGCCGCCCACCCCTGGGAGCGGCTGAGACCTGGGCCAGGACTCGCTTCCCAGAAGGCCGTGCGCACGCCTACAGCTCCCATAATGCCTCACCGAGGAACTGCGGAAATCCTGGCCGGGGAGCGGCCGTTCACCCCGCCACTGTGTGCACACCTAATACAGTTCTTCAGCGTACCTCTGGCCTTTTCTTCTGACGCTGTTCTATTACAGAGGCAAGTGCACAGCGGACGACCGCGAAGACCCGCTGGGAGGCGTGGCTTGGGGACCGGAAGGAACTGTTGCCATGGGAACGCCGCGCGCCAACGCGCTTGCTCAGCCACTGATGCTCCGGCGGAGGCAGGGGCTGCCGGTAACCCCACTTAGTACAGCTGGTGCAGGCGTCGCTCAGAACCGGGGGTGTTAGGTTTGGACGCATAGAGAAGAGGGCTGAGCGACCCCCAGCCCCAGCACGAGATTTCCATTCCAGGGACGGATTTGATCCACTCTTGTGCCTCCCTAGCTCTTGGGCCCGCCGGAGTAACCTCAAAGATCAGGTATCTCCTCATCCCCTTTTTTTGTAGTCAGTTGGTGCACTCCCACCCCTGCCCTACCTTCTCCGTTGTTGAATCCTTCTTTGCCTTTTCCCCCGTGTTTTACTCCACGCGGGTAGTTTTTCCTAAAGCATGACAGTGGAAAAGGAGAGGTGGGCTTTTGTGGTGAGTACTAGCGACCCTAGCAAACGTATTGAACTGCTTTTGGAAAGTTTTTGGTTGATTTGAACACTGCTTAACTTTGGCTTTTTCATTTGGTGGTAATATGAAATTTCATCGTCCAAAATTGAAAGCCGAATAAGAATGTTTAGAGCAATAAGTACACTGGATTAACATGTCTGAAGTTTACAAAGTACCATTCATGGTGTTTGCCTGACCATTATCTCTCTGCAGCTTATCTTCCAACCTATTAAGTGTGGATGACATCTTAATTCTTCTGGACTTTTCTGCCAGGCTACATGTAATCCTTTAGGAAGCACTTTCTCAGAGAACAGCCAAGAGATGTTCTAATTCCAGAAGTTCTAATTCAAGAATTATTTCCAGAGTGCAGCAAGGATGCTTAGGAGCATATGAAAATAAATCAATTAAATTAGGTTAATATGTAGAGAACTTTAATGATGAATGTTTGAAGAGTAATGAGAAGTATGTGGACACAGTTGAATTGTGGCACTTCCTGCAGCAGCTAAGGGCTGGCAACACGTCTCTTCTCCTACCACATAGTGATGTTTCGAGGGTTGATGGACCCAAAGCAGCTTTACTGGAAAAGTTTCATTTCAAAACCATAGTGTAGATATTTAACAGTACCTTAGATGGTTATGAGCAGCCATCAAGCTATCATATAGCAAGCAATGTTGGTAACAGTTGTGACTGTAGAATACTGTCTTTGAATTGCTGATGAAATTGTTGTAAAGGTTTGTACTACATAGTTGTTTTTCCCTAAGAATTGATACAGTAAAACAAATAAACACTTAGGGATAAATTAACAAAGTAAACCTTACAGTTTTTGAGCCAATGAAATTAAAATCTAAGATAAGTATTTACTGTCTTTGTTTTTTTCTTTTTTTGACAGAGTACATGCGCTTGCCAAGAGAGAGACAAAGAAGGAGAAAGTACTCCCCCACTGGGGTATGGTCATCCACAGTTCTTCCACCTCCATTTCTCCATCTTGTAGAATTATGGACACATGCGTGTACGTGTGTGCACATGTACACACATACACAGAAAAGGCTCAGTGTGTTTTTCAAGCCACCCAGGGCCACAGATGTAACTGCAGTTTGCCATGTGGGATCCTTAATCACTAAGCCAGAGGCCAACCCTACTTTCTTACTCTATACTGGTATGATAAAGTTCTTTTAAAGTAGCACTTAGTAAGACACTTCAGGATAGTCACAATTCACAAATATTTATTGGATTCTTGGAAAAGTCATGATGCATTTTTCTGTTCTACGTGAATATGTGTCAGGATATTTCCGACTACCTGATAGTAAGGTTTGGTAAAATTGTGTGTGTGTGTGTGTGTGTGTGTGCATATGTATTTATACAAAACCCAATCTGTGTGTGTGTGTGTGCATAGGTATTTATATACAAAACCCAATCTCCAGATGGATTTGTGGTGATTTTATAAAAATATACAAGTATAAGGGCAAAGAGCAAAGAAGAAATGTATCTGGATTTTCGATTTCTACTGAGAAAAAACTCAACCCAAAACTGAAGGAATCAAGCAAGCAAACAAAACCAGTCAATTTAATATAACTTTATATTGTTATAAAATACTCCAGTGGGGTTGACTTCAGATAAAGATTTAGCCGGTGTCTCAAATGATATAGCCAAAAGTCTGTTTTTCTCAACTCTCTAAGAATCAGCATCAGACTCTACATGAACGCTATTGTTCATACATTTTAAGTTTCCCAGAAAGGTCATAATGGCCTAATTCATAGATGATTTCAAGTATCACAATTGTCAGACTAAGTGATACTGAGGCTGGCTGTGATTTTTCTTAAATGTCATAAATTACCGTGGGAAAGGTAGTTATTTCAAGGGCATTATCTGTGTTGCTAGGGGTTATAAGCTGCCAGTCTGCATTTAAGTTAAGGCTCCTTTCTGGTAATCGGCTTATGCTCTGTTTACTAAGTGCAAAGCTACATTCATATGGTTTTCCCAGTATCATTCTATATCTTTAAATTATTAAATTTTATATATATATGTGTGTGTGTGTATATATATATATGTGTGTGTGTGTGTGTGTATATATATATATTTTTTTTTTCATACTTAAGGTATCTGGGTGCTATAGCTTTTGTCTTTCTTATTTGCAGCAGGTTTGTAAGTATTCGAATTTCAATATGGGATTGCTAGACAGACTTTCAGGCTTGCTTGGCCTGAAGAAGAAGGAGGTTCATGTTTTATGCCTGGGGCTAGATAATAGTGGCAAAACAACAATAATTAACAAGCTTAAACCCTCAAATGTAAGTACCTTCTTTAGATGCTTTATGTATTTTCTGCTACTGGAGAAAGTTATGTGCAGAATTATTTTGCTTGGCATTGTAACTTTATGTAGTCATATTATGAAACCCTGTTAACCTTGAAGTACTTAAATTAAGTTCAGTTATAATTGCAGTGTATTTTATGTTGCATATAGATAAATCTTGATTATTATACTGGAATATTCTTTTCAAATGTCTTTCTTTTTTCTTTTTTCATTTTTCCAAAAGATTATCAAAAATTTGCCAAGTTTACTTTCAAGTTTCATTGCCTACCTTTTACAGGAGGAGCAAAACAAAGGGAACAATAAATCATTTTTATAGGTTATGTGGATAATGGACAGTTTATCCTAGAAGTGTGATATGCATAGCAATAATAGTAAGCAAGACTTTTAGCAGTAAGTTTCTGCACACATTTTAATAACTGAAAAATATGTGAAATTAGCACATTAACATATGATGCATAAGTTACAGTTAAGTTCTGATACATGTAAAGAAAAACCACATATCTGTGCTTTCCAAATTACTGGCACCACTTCTGAGTTTTAATCTTTGGGCAGTTCTATCTCATTGGAAAAATTAACATACAGGTTGTGAGAACAGAATAATTTACTTTGCGATTTTTTTCTCTATCTTCCTTTTCTTTCTGTCTTTCATTCTTTTTATTATTTTTTTTAAATAAATTGATGATAATAGCCAAGGGACTCCTTGAAATAGGACTTTTTAAATGTTCCCAAGCCTCTGTCTCTCAAATATGAAGATAACACTTCCTACATTGAACCCAAGGAAAAGTCTCTATGAGCACACTGCCACTATTATAACATTATTTTCAGTGAATTATTGATGCCTTGCAAAAAAAAATGTGCATCTCATTGTATAGTAAAGTTGTCCCTATTTGTTTTCTGGATAAAATAAATAAATCTCTAGGTAACTAGAGGAGTCTTGGACCCAAACTGGTTTTTATTATTGATAATAATTCCTGCAGCAGCTAAGGCTGACAACACATTTAGCAAACATTTTCTAAATGTTTGCTTATTATTAATGTACCGAGGTTGCTGGTATTTTCTAAACCGATGAATAAGTAGAGAGGGACTTTTTTATTTATTTATTTTTTTTTTTTGAGAGGTTTTTGCTATAGGTCACATATGCTCACCAGAAAGACAGAGAGACAGAGAGTCAGAAAGCAAGAAATCACCCTCCCCGGGGGGGTGGGGGGATGGCCATGCTGCAGTCCCTTCTCCCCCATTCTTCTCTCTTGGGATCTTGGGCATGTGCACACACGCGCCCGGCACGAATTTAAGCCATCAGCTCCATTACTGGAACCACGGTTGACTACATGGGAGTTCAGCAACATAGCCATTATACCAACTGCTTGACCCAGAGAGAGGGACTACATTTTAACTTGGTAACTCTTTTCAGGAATCTAGTCTTGGTGTCATTTTCTTAGAGATACACTCTATATACTTTTTTTTTTTTTTTTTTTAATGCCATAGGGAACTTGTACACACACAAGATGGGTCAGGGAGAGAGAAAAGAAAGCACTCTCAGAGCCTGGTCACACTACAGTCTCCCTTTCCTCCATTTTTCCATCCTGTCAGGATCCTGGACATGCATGCTCATGTGCAATGTGTTTTCAAGCCACCATGCTGGAATTTGAATTATGGCTGCCATGTGGGATCCAACTCACTCTGCACAGCACATAAATCTTGTACTACAGCGTTGGCTCAATATATACCTTTCTTTTAAAATTCTAATCTTGGGACCAGCAGGTAGCATAGTGGTTAAGGCACTGGACTCCCATGTAGTTAATGGTGGTTTTAGTCCCAGACATGGTGGCTTGAAACTCATGCTGGGTGCATGTGTATGTGTGCCTATAATCCTGAGAGGAGAATGGAGGAGAAGGGATTGTCATGTGGCCATCTTCTCCCCGCCCCACCAGGGGGGAAGGGTGATTTCTCACTTTCTGTCTCTCTGTCTCTCTCTGTTGTCTCTCCAATGAACATACGCAGCCTATCGCTAAAATCTCCCTCCTTTCCCTGGAGATTGGCGGGGTTTTTTCTTCATAATAATTGATAACTTTACCACATGATTGGCACAGTGAAAACCCTTAAAATTGAGCCAGTCTCATAGCCTATTGATTGAGAGAATCAGATTCTACATAGCCAAGTGTGGTTTGGGTCCCATCCCCTGCATCTTGAAAAACATGCCCAAACCTGTCTCAAATCCTGACAGGAAGGAGAAATGAAGGAGAAAGGATTGCAGCATGATCATTCCACATTACATATTGCTTAATCCTCTCCTTTTTTTTTTTTTTTTTTTTTTTTTGTCTTTGATTGGCTAGCATATGGGCCCTCTGACAAAAAAAAAGAAAAAAGAAAAAATTCCTTAAAATCAAAATGGTGGGGTTTTTTTTAGGGCAATAAAAATTAGGAAACTCTGCATTCCAAAGTTTATCGTACAGTGAAGGAACTCCAAGTTTTGAGGCAGGAATCTCAGTAGCAGGAAATAAATTTTCTTTGACATAAATAAAATAAATGATATTTTTGAAGAATATGAAAGCAGCTCAAAGGATAGCCAGAAGGGAAAGCTGAGTAAGCAAACTTCAGGATGGTAAAACTAGGATAGCTCTGGAAGATTTTTTCACTTGCATGTTATTATTAAGGTAACCAAGCTCCAGTGACTTCAACTTCTGTCTTTTCAAGTGACTTTAAGTGGCATAGTGGTTAAGGTACAAGACTTCTATGTGGCCAACCACAGTTTGAGCCCTGGATCTGAGGGCCTGAAAATCATGCCGGCGTGTGTGTGTATGTGTGTGTGTGTGTGTGTGTGTGTTTGCACACACGTGCGAGCATGCACACATGCCCAAAATCCCAGAAAGAGAATGAAGGGGAAGGGATTGCAGCATGGCCATCCTCCCTGGGAGGTGATTTCTCAGTTTCTCTCTCACTGTCTCTCTCTGTTGAGTGCATGTGCCCTATAGGAAAAACCTTTAAACATAAATACAAATAAACAGATTTCACAAAAATAGACTCAGAGGTTGAACATGATGTGAGACAAAAATTTTTCATCTAGTCCGCCTGTTTTCCCATAAATTCAATAAGATGAACTAAAGAGGGATTTTTCTTAAGTTATACTCGTTGCAGTATGGAAAAAGTTGAGGATCAGACTGAATTAGTGAGTGTAATTGTAATAGTAGCAAACATTTGTTGAATGTTTACTATAGTACAGACACCATGGTGAATATTTTGCATTCACCAGGTCATTTCTCATGATAGCTTTAGAAGTTAAGGATAATAGTATTTCACATTCAAGTAAACCAAGGCTTACAAAAGTTAAGTACCTTGTTCAAGGCAGCATAAGCAGTTAGGAGCAATGAGGAGGCTGTTGTAGTGATTTAAAGAATTGATAAGGGCCTGAACTGTTACTGAGATACTGGGTCATCAGAAAAGTCATGACATCTTTTCTGCGTTTTTCTATGCAAAAATTCATCATGGCTTTTCCAATGACCTGGTAGAACCAGTAAACTTAGAGAATGTTTATTTGTGAAGTGTAAAAAAGGGGAGGAAATCAAAAATAACTTCTAAGCATTTGGATCAGAAAGTGGGTGAAATTTTCCTGAAACAAAGGAACAGTTTTGATGGTGGAAAACAAAGAGGCATTTGATGACTTAGATTGTCAGTAAAATGCATTTTAGTTGCCTGTGGGACTTGTTAACTGGTCTTTTGCTGCTCTCTTGCCCTCTTCCAGTCTTTTCTCCACCCACAGTTCCCCACCATGGTCTTTAAGCCTACCTCTGGAAGAGGTACCTCAGTCTACCACTTTTTCTCCTACTCAATACAGTTTAGACATACAGACCTTTTCTTTTTCCCCTAGTGGCGTGTTCCTTCCTCCTTTAGGACCATCGCACTGACTGATTGCACTGACTGGAATGTTCTTTGCCAAGAACTTGCTATAGCATTTCTCCTCATTGTCATTGACTCGTGGGTCAGAGGTCACCTCCACTCAGGAGGGCAGATAGCACCTCCACAGAGTCACCTTACCTGAGTTCTCTGTTTCCAGGCCACCCTATCTGCCATGATCCCACTGTGAATCACCTTTCTTTGCATTAACAACTGCTCAAAATTGTGCTCAAATGGCACTTAGTTGTTTAAAGTTGTTTGCTTCCTTTATGTTATGAACTCCAGGAGAGCAGGGACTATCTAGATGTGAGGACAATACCAGACATACTTTATACTCAAAAGTACATGTTGAAAGATGCAAAAGTCCTGCATGTGAACTCAGGGTGACTTATTAAAACCATTTACAAAAACTTTTAAGTTCTTAGTCATTTGCAGCAAATTACAGAAAGTGAATTGGGGGCCAGCCAATGACGTGGTTAAGGCAACTGGATCTCAAATGATCAACTATGCGGTTTGAGTTCTAGACCTGGCAGCATGGAAAATGCCTGTTGTTTGTGTGTCCAAAATGCCAAAAGGGGAAATGGGAAAGAAGGGATTGCAGTGTAGCCATCTCTTATGGGGGAGTGCTTTCTCACTTTCCTTCCTCCCTCTCTGGCCAGTGCACATGCCCTGTAGCAATTTTTTTTTTTTTTAAAGAAAAAGAAAAGAATTAAATACCCACTCTGTAGATATAAATTAGTAAGCCTTAAACTCTATAAAGAATTTCTATGCAGTGAGCCTCTTGCAGAAATTTAATTTTGTTTCATCATGTCATCTCCTTAGTGGCATATTTTAAGAATAGAAAATCTGCATGCCTTTTTTAACCTGAGGAAAAATTCATGTTTGGTAATTGCAAATTTCTGAACCTTGTCTTTTCTCTGAAGGCTCAATCTCAAGATATAGTTCCAACAATAGGATTCAGCATAGAGAAATTCAAATCACCCAGGTAATCCACTCTATCTCTGTGACTAAGAAGTAGTGGGCGAAAAATAATATCAAATTTATTGGGTCATTACTTCTACTCTTAGAAAAAGTAATTTATTATTTCAGAAGCCCATAGATAGTAACATGTTCAAACCACTTGATTCTGGTTTATTTTTGAGCTTAGACAAACCCCAGTAATTTCAATAGCAAAGAAAACATCTTTCCATATGTTATTTATTGCAAAATCATATTTACATTAATACATTCACTTTATAGAACTTTTACTTGAAAATTGGCTCATGTTGAGTAGTATATATCAAGAGTGGTTTCCTTGATTGAAAATAATTTAAAATTTTAAGTAAAAGTTAACACTTTAAGGTAGTCACTTAGGATATAGTCATGCTTTGTTGTTTTTTGGTTTTTGTTTTTATTTTCCTGTAGTTTGTCTTTTACAGTGTTTGACATGTCAGGTCAAGGAAGATACAGAAATCTCTGGGAACACTATTATAAGTAAGTATGTTTGTGAATGTTCCTTAACTAGATGGTAATATTTTTATAACAAAAAATGATTATATGGGCTGTGTTGTATTGTTCATTTTTTGTATGATTTAAGTACTATTCCTAATTTTAAAAATGCTTAATCTGACTCCATGTTGTTCAAATTGTTCAGATCTTTCATGACCTTTGAGCCTTTGCATATGCTGTTCTTTGTTCAGTCTTTGTTTTTTAACATTACTTATTTATTTCTTCCATGAGAAAGAGAGAGAGGTACTTTAAACAGGGGCTTATGCTGTGATTCTTCACAAGCGGTCTCAGCCAGCGGAATCTCGGGTCCCTGAGTGTGCTCAGCATGTGAGGTCCACGCAGTTTCTGAATCCCAGTCTTGTATACATCCTCCCACGTTGCCGAGCTCTGTGCTGCCACTGCACCACCACGGCTGGGCCCATCTCTCAGTTTTTAATCCCCTGTTTCATCCTACTTCTTTTCAGTTTAAGGTTATTATATTCATGTTTTAAGAACCAGCTCAAAAGTCACTTCCTCTGAAGTTTCACTGTGAAGCCCAGTAATTCTGTCCTCTGCATATACAATCATGCTTATCATGTCTTGAAGTCCTATGCCAGAGCTGCCTCCCTAATATGACTGTGAACCCCTTAAGGGAAGGGATTATTTTTTTATTCAGATTATTTCTTCAAGGCCTAATAAGATGTTTAGCATATAGATCAGTAAATATTATTGACTAACTGTAGTTAAAATAACAGTATTGTCTAGCAGTTGATACATCTGTTCAATGAGCAATTCTAAACAAAATACTTTCCGGTTTACACAATTCAAGTGTTCACTGATTACTTTAAATTAACAGCTGTCAAGTTACTAAGATCCAAATGTATTATACATTCTCAAGATTGCATGTGGCATTAAAATAGACTCATTTACTTCTAATATAAGTAGGACTCCTTCATTTAACAGCATTGTCATTCATTTTCAGAGTGTGAAACTAAAAACAACGTCCCTGACTAAACTTCCTTTTATGATTATGCACTCCTTCCTTGAAATGATACATGATGACTGTAAGATTTAGGTCAGATTTAGATGTAAATTGGTTAACTTTTTCCCACTGATGTCAGAACAAATATTGTATTCCTGAGTTAGGAACCAAAGGAGATTTAGTCCAAATAGTCTTTCAGTGAGCATTTTAATATTGGGTTGTCAGAAAAATCTTGATTTTTTTTTTGTTTGTTTTTCTATGCAAAATGCACCATGTCTTTTCCGACAACCCAATAGATTGAAGGACTCAGTTTATTTCATTCCTTTCATGAGAAGGAGAGAGAGAGAGAAAGAGAGAAATAAGTGCCCTCAACAGGGACTCACGTCGCAATCCCCCTACAGCTTTTCCAGCCAGCCAGGATCACGGGCGGCATGCCCAGCATATTAACGCATTGACCACAGAACCAAACTCATGATGTTCCACATTGATCCAGCTTGGCTTGAGCAGCACATTTACCCTGAAGTTCTGTTAAAATTATACAGATCCAGAAAATAAAATGCTTCAGATTTGAGGGTCAGTTTGAAAAAGGAAATGTGGTGTGTCTATGTTATTCTGCATTACATTCCCTGGGAGAATGCAGTTTTTTGGATTTTGCTTGTTTATTTTACAGTACAGATGCTCCTTGACTTAAGATGGGGTTATATTGAATAACTATTACTAAAATAAATGTATTCTTTCATAGCTAACTTTAAAAAGAGTACATTTATTTAAATTATAGCAACTCTGATATAACCCTAGAACATTTCTGTTATATAACTTCTGCATATTATTCTGATGCTGTAAAAAATGTAATAGCATGACAAGAGAAGTAGTGTTCATTTTTTAAAGTTTGAGAATTATAGATGTATTTTCCTTTTTTTTTTTTTTTTTTTTTTTTTTTGACATAGGGTGCATGCACTCCCTGGAGAGAAACAGAGAGAAAGAAAGGGAGAAATCATCCCCACGGAGGATGCCCATGCCACAATCCATCCTCCTCCATTCTCCTATTGAGGTTTTTGGTACACACACATGAACATGTGCCTGGCTTGATTTTCAAGCCAATAGGTCTGGGACTTGAACTGTTGAATCAGCCATGTGGGAGTCCAGTGCCTTAACCACCATGCCACCTGCCAGCCCAGAGAAGAGAAAAGAATATTTAAAAAAAAATTATTTCCCTTAAATTTTGCTATTCATAAATTCATCGTCTTTTATCTTTTTATATGCTTCATTTTTGAAATATGTGATATAGTGCCAGCTTGAAGCATGGTAGTTAAGGCACTGGACTCCTACATAGCCAACTGCAGTTTGAGTCCTGGACTCAGTGTCTTGGAACTCACACTAGGTATGTGTACATGCATGCCCAAAATCCCAGGAGGAGGATGGAGAAGAAGGGATTGTGGCATCCCCTTGGGGAATGATTTATCATTTTCTCTCTCTCTGTCTCTGTCTTTCTCTCTCTCCAGCAAGTGCATGTGCCCTTATGGCAAAAACCTAAAAAAATAAAATAATTAAAAAAAGAAATATGCAATACACACTTTATATAATTAAAGAGATAGGAGCCATCTAAAATTATATTCCTTGTATATTTTTTATCCTCTTTTTTATTTAATGTTCTATAATATGAGTAAATCAGAAAAACAAGTTAACTAATGGCTGCCTAATATTTTTCAAACAGCTGTGCCAAAATTTGCTTAATCACTTCTCTGCTTTTGGACATGAAAACTATTCTATTTTTGAAGATCATAAACAACCCTTCAGTTTATATTCTTTTGTTTTAAATCTTAGCCATAGTTCATATTTCCTTACTATGAATTCTAAAAGTAAGTTCACTGACTTAAAGTGATTGAACATTTTTTAAGGTCTTTAATCAATTTTTTAAGAATTTCTTCCATGATTGATAGATAGATAAACACCCTGAATAGGGTCCTTACACCACAAACAACCTCTAATTTTGGCAAGCCTGGATCACGGGCACGAGCATGCATGCTTGACGTGTCAAGGAAGTCCTGCATCCCGGGACCTTCCCCGTGTGGGTCCAATTTTGTTACTGTAGCACCAGTGCCTGGACCCTTGGTAGATTTTTTAAAAATTATTTTTATTTAACTTTATTTATTTTAATTTGGTCAGAGAGGGACAGAGAGAGAAAGAATGAGGGAGAGTGAAAAAGCAAGCTGCCAGGTCTGGGACTCGAACCATGGTCAGCCATGTGGGAATCTAGCGTCCTTAACCACCATGGTACCTGCTGGCCCCTTGGCGTTTTTAACCATACTGGTTTCTATGACACTAGCAAATTATGGCCATGATAATGTGCATTATCATTTTTTAACTGGTAGAAGAAAAGAGTGTTATGTGGTTATGTGTTTATTTTATTTGGTTACTAATTCCATTAAAATTTAAAATTATACCTTATAACTGTCATAACCAAGTATGTACAAAATAAGCATAGATGTCCAATAAATATGTGAAAGAATATTGAATCTTACCAGCAGTTAAATACAAAACAAAATGATATACAACCCAACTGGTGTAGATTAAAAAGAATGAAAATAGCCAGTGCTGGCGAAAGAGTAGGAAAAGCATTTGTAGTCAGGTAAATTGATAAAAGTGTTTGTGGAAAACAATTTGGCAATGCTTATCTAAATTATATAGTCCTAGAAATTTAACTCAAAAGAACAAATATTAAAGCGTCAGAATTTTTTTTTTTGGGGGGGAGCAGCAGATGGAGTAGTTGTGGCACTGGACTCCCACATGGCTGACCACTGTTCGAGTCACAGATAAAGCAGCTTTAAACTCATACCAGGCACATGTGTGTGCATATCCAAAGTCCTGAGATAGGAGAAGGAACTGTGGCATTGCCATTCCCCCGAAGGGAGTCTGGTTTCTCATGTTCTCTCTCTCGGTGTCTCCAGTAAACACATGGGACCTATAGCAAAAATCCCTCTTAAAAAAAAAAAAAAGAAAAGAAAGAAAAATTTTTTAAATATTAAGTAGAAAGAAATTTGTTCCAAAGTTTTTCCTAATAATGAAAATATGGAAATAATCTCAAAGTTTAACAACAGAGGTTTGACGCAATGTTTAATGACACATCATGGAATATGATGCTATTTAACTGTTTTATAAAAGAAAGGTGCAGAGGAATCAGTTATGTGTGAAGTGTTGGTATGATCAATTAAACCAGTCAAAGGCTATCTGTCAGCTTTTTTAAAAAAAGAATTATTTACTTAATTATATTTATTCATTCATTTATTTTCATTTGACCAGAGAGAGACCGGTGGGGGGGAGGGAAGTGAGAAAGCAAGCCTCCAGGTCCAAGACTTGAACCATGGTCAGCCATGTGGGAGTGTCCAGCGCTTTAACCACCATGCCACCTGCTGGTCTCTGCTACCTATCAGCTGGTAAAAAATCAGATAGAATAAAATAAAATCTATTTGTTGGTTGGTCTTTTATTGGAGTAGTTAGGTGCAGAGGAAGCCATATTCCATAGGCAGAACAGGATACGAGTTCCAGTACCATCAGCTTGAAAAATATGCTGGGCACATGTGTGTCTGGAGTTCTGACTGAATTGAAAAAAGCATCGTGGCATGACTGGACCCTGTTCAAGGGTGCTTTCTGTGCTTTCTCCCTACCACCTCTTGTGCAAATGCAAGTACCCTGTGGCATGAAAAAAATAAATAAAAATAGCTACTTGTAAGTATAGTGTTTTTTTGGTTTTTTGGTTTTTTTGAGAGGTTTTTTCGCTATAGGGCGCGTGTGCTCACCAGACAGATGGAGAGACATAGAGACAGAAAGCGAGAAATCCCCCCCCAGAGGGGATGGTCACGCCGCAATCCCTTCTCCTCCATTCTCCTCTCGGGATCTTGGGCATGCACGCACATGTGCCCGGCATGAGTTCCGGGACATGAACCGCGGTCGACTACGTGGGAGTCCAGTGACATAGCCATTACGCTAACTGCTGGTTCCCTGTAAGTATTGTTTTAGGAGACACTTGTTTTGAATAAATTTATGTATAGTATGTGTCTTCTGCATCTCAATTGAAAATGTATTTTTCACTGTGGTCTAAGGTTAAAAAAAGTAAGAAACACTGATACGGAGCTTTACCGTTTCATATAATAATAGTTCAAACCATTCTGAAAAAAAAAATAAACATATATTTAAAGCATCTCTAATCTAAAATTTTGAATTACAAAATTCTTAAATATCTGAAATTTTTTTGAGTGCTGATATAATTCCACAAGTGGAAGATTTCACCTCTGACCTTAGGTAGTGGGTAACAGTCAAAATACTGCAGTATAAAATATTGTATTAAATTATCCTCGGGATCAGTGTATTAAGTGTATGTGAAACAAATTAATTTCATGTTTAAACTTGGATCCCATCCCCAAGATATCTCCTTGTGCACATAAAAATATTCCCAAATCCAAAAAATCTGAAAGTTGAAACACTTCTGGTCTCAAGAATATTAGATAAGGGATACCAATCAGAAAGAGAAGGCATAGAACAGTAGAATTCCATTTTAAATAAAGATGTATATATTCATATGTGAATATGCACAAAGAAAAGTGTCAATTGACACATACCAAAATATAAGTAATGATTGTATCTGTTTAATAGGTTAGGATTTTTAAACTTTTTCCTACCTTATGTACTGATTATTTAAATGAAAAAAAATCACTTGATTTTTTCAGTTATGAAATAGAATGTCCTTGAATTTATTATATTGGCATTTAAATGAAAAGTCACAAAATATGACCAGTAGTTAATTTATTAATCATCATTGGACCAGCAGGTGGCATGGAGGTTGAAGCGCTAGATCCACGTAGTTGATTGTGTGGTTCTAGTCCCAGACCTGGCAGTTTGAAAAATCACACTGGGAAAAAAAATCCCAAAAATTCCAAGAGGAGAATGGAGGAAATGGGATTACAATATAGCCATCCTCCCTGGGAAGTGATTTCTTTCACTTTCTCTCTCTGTCTCTCTCTGGTGAGTGCACATACCCTATACCAGAAAGCTAAAAATAATAATAATAGTAATACAGACACACACACACACACACACACCATTATTTAGACTAACAAGAAATGACACCAAAACTTCTCATGATAAATGGACATAGGAAATGAAGAAGTAATACATTAGGTTAGGAAATACATATGAATAATAACCATGGAAAAATTTACAAGTGTTGTTTTAATATTTTTCTTTCTTTATATTATATAGAGAAGGACAAGCCATTATTTTTGTCATTGATAGCAGTGACAGATTAAGAATGGTTGTGGCTAAAGAAGAACTTGATACCCTTCTGAATCATCCAGGTATGTCATGTCTGTGATATATATGTGCTTTGGGAGTCCATTTATGTGTTGTTTTGTCCTTTGGTATTCACAAAAAGTGTTGCTTATACCATGTAATTATTTTTATTTAAAATTTTTGAATGTAAAACATTAGTTATGTGGAAATCATAGTATCTTTACATATATCACCATATTTTTTAAAATTCAAAGCTTTTTAAAAAATTTGGGAGTGTTTAACATTTATTTCCTGAAAAATAAAAATGCCCTTTTTTTCTCGATTACAGAAATATTATGCGCTGGTAGCAAAAAAAAATTAAAAAGAAAAAGAATCTATGTATTTCAGCATCCCTTAAAATGGTTTTGGTTACCCTCTTTTCATCCATTTTTCCACTTGTCTCTGAGAGTTTGTATGTGTGATTAACTACACCATTTTTACATGTGTATTGTGGGAATTTTTTTGAAACAAATCTTTTTTGTTTTTAATCTCCAACTGTCAGCTCCCCACCCCCTTTCAAGATACTAGTACTTACAACTTGTTATTTTTTCTTCCACCCTTTTTATATGTTTTATACACACACACACACACACACACAAGAACATAGATACTTACATAGGAAACAAAGGTATGTATAGGTTTGAGAGCTCTGGGGACTCTCGTTATTTTCCAAAATGAGTTTATTCATTATGTGCATCTGCATCTTCCTATTTGCAATTACCATAACATGATGGAAACATTTCCAAGTCAATAAAATGATGTCATTATTATTTTAATAGTGCCTAATATGCCATACTATGAGTGTACAGCACTTTGTTCATTCACCTGTTGATGAAAGTTCTTCTCCCCTAACCCCTACCTCTTTACAAACAGTGCTCTAGTAAAGACAGTAGAACTAGCTCAGCATTTCTAGACTTATTCTTGTCAAAGAGATTTAAGTAGGCTTTATGCTAGGACTTTTAGAAAAGGATGGTCATTTAAAAGAATTATGGATTTGTTAAAAATGGAATCAAACAGTGTAATGCTTTCTAACAGTTCTTGCTACTTAACCACAGTATCTTTGGTATTTTTATCAGACAACCTCAGGCTTGTTCAAATTCTTGAAAAAAAGTGATTCAGCCTGTACCTTTTATGTGACTCTTTCATTTTATTTATTTACTTATTTATTTATTCAATTTTCCCACAAACATTACATATCATAATATTTTTGCTTAAACATCATAGTTCTTGACAGTTAATAAACAACTTTCAAACTTTCCAAAAAATTAAATTTTAAATATAACTTTCAAAATATTTGTTATACTTTTGTTTGTGACTATATAACAACAGAGACAGTATGATTTTAAATTGTTTTGAGAAACTACTTACATGTCAACTACTCCGACTGTTGAGCGCAGACACCCTGCACACAGTTCACATGTGAACCTTCCCAACTCAGTTAAGTATTCTGTGGTTTACCATCTCGAGTAAAAATCAGTCTCTTTTTCTTCCTTCAAAGTCTTCCTCAAGGCAATCCTCTGGTTGTGGCCTCTCTTTTGCAATATCTCTACTGATTTTTACAATGTTGGGCTGGAAAAGTTCAAGTTATTTTACGGTATGAATTATTTCATATGACTTCTCTAACCCTCTCTGCCAGGAAGAACTGTTTGTGGTGCCAAGCAGTCTTTCCAAGAGCTTCTGTTGGCTTTCTTGAGATCTACCTTAGTTCCATAGCTTTTTGGTCACATCTTTAGATGTGGCATTTTAGTCAAAGCCCTGGCAATAACGAGTATTTACTATTTCTAATGCAAGGTAACAGGTTATTATTGCCTTTTATTTAACACTTTGAATATATTTTCCCATTCTTTCCTTGCTCTCATTGTTTCCAAGGAGAGGTCTAATGTTAGCCTGGTGGAATGACCTTTGTCAGTAACCTGACATTTCTCTTGACAATTTTAGTATCTTGTCCTTGTCTGTAGATTTGGCCTATCTAGCTATGACGTGCCTTGGAGAAGATCTTTTTAAGTTGATTCTATTTGGGGTCCTTTGTATTTCTTGGCTCTGGATATTTGAATGCCTCTCTAGGATTAGAAAGTTTGCTTCAAGGATTTCACGGAATAGATTATCATTGCTCTTACTAGTTTCTTCACCTTGTGGGATAATGATTATCCAGATATTTGGGCACTTAATGCTATCTAGTATTTCTCATATATTATGCTCACTTTGGGGATTATTTTCTCAGTCTTTTTGGTGATTTTTTTTCTAGGTCAGAGGTTTTGTCTTCGACATCTGAGATTCTATGTTCTGCATGGTCTAATCTGCTTTTAATACTTATGAGGGAGGTTTTGATTTTCTGTGTTACATCCTTCATCTCTAATAGCTCTGTTTGATTATTTTTTCATGGCTTGTATTTCTCCCTTCAAATTGTGAAAGAACTTGCTCACCTCCTGGAACTCGTTGTCTCTTTGTTCTTGGACCTTCCAGAGTTCATTGTCTCTCATCTCTCACATTTCATTTTGTTTTGTCACTGTGAATATTCTGAATTCTTCCCACAATTTCTTGCAGTTATTTCTAAGCATTCAGAGTGTGGGAGGAGGTTATCCACAGTCTCTTTGCAGTTTTGTTTCCATGATGCTCACCAAGCAACCTGCACTTTTTTTTTACTTTGGAACTGGATGTTACAAAGGCCTCACAGTTTCTAGGGAATAGGTAAACCTGAGTTGAGCTGTGGGGTTTCAACCAAGAGTTCAGAAGCATGTGCTCTCTACAGCTTCATACTTCTCCCTGCTGTTCACTCTGCAGTCTCTCTTCTCTGAATTTTCATCATTTGATAGTATATTCACTTTTGGCTAATTGCTTAGGGAAGGTTTCTGCAACTGTAGAATCATGTCCTTCCCTTTACTGTAAGGTACTTCTGAGAAAATTTCTGTCCTCTACTGTGTTTTGCAATGTGATCCACAGAAAGAGGTTTTGAGTTCAGATTTATAGAGAGGAGTTTCTTCATTTAGGCAGCAGGTTCAGTAAGGGTTGAGTATTTCTGTGACCCTAAAAGTATTCAGATGCTTCGCTACCATGCACGTAGGCCTGTCTAGACACTTAGTGTATGGAGGCTGAATAGCAAAAGGAGAAAGAAAGGTTAAAAATAATTTTAAAAAGAAAGGAAAAAAAAAGGGGGGGGGGGAACCAATAAAGGAAAAAAACTTTTTTTAGCATCAAAAAAATGAAAATGAACATGGCAAGATATGCCTCCGATTGAAATGGCTTCTGAAATTAGCAAGAGAAAGGTTGGAGGTTAGAAGTGTTTTAAAACTTTTTAAAAAAGAAAAAAAATTAAATAGAGACAGAGAGAAGACAGAAGTTTCCCTAACTGTCTGAGTTTTTTGGGAGTCAGGAAGGTGGGGTTTAGAGCAGAGATTCAGACTCTGGTCTCTGAACACTGCAGGACACACCTCAGATTGAAATGACTTCTGTCTGAGCTTTTTGGGGGTCTGGAAGATGGAGTTTAGAGCAAAGATTCAGTAGCCTTGGTCTCTCAACTCTATCACTTTAAAAACAGCACCCTTGTATGTGGGTTAGGAATTAATTTTTGATTATATATTCCCTTTTTTGTAATCTTTTTTTTTCTCCCCAAGCAGCATTGGAATATTGATCAATAAAGTGGAATAGTTCCTAAAATATCAGCTTCATACTCAATAGGAACCTTGATTTCCTCAGCTGAAGCCCTGACCATTATCTTTATGTACTGACCTTTTAGTTTATAGGATAGATTCCAAAGGGAGTGATTTCTCAGATGAAGTGTATATTAATTTTATTTAATTGAAGGCCACAAAAACGCTTTGAATAGCAAAATGTATCATGAACAGTCAAAGGAAAATGACAAGCAAGGGAAAATATTTGCAACTCGTATTATAGCTAGAGGGCTTATTTCCATACTAGTGTTCTTACAAATCATTAAGAAAGTAAAAACTCAATAGAAAATGGTAAAATGATGTTATAAAATAGTTCAACAACAAAAAAGTAAATTTAAACATATTGTGAATATAGAAATTTTTATCCATTCTCAAAAAAAATGCAAGTGAATACATTGTGATCATACTTTTCACTTACCACCCATTATATGGCAAAGATAAAAAATGTTCGATAACACTTGGCTAAGAAAGTGAAAATGCTGTCTGATATATTATTATTGAAATGTAAATTGATGTAATTCCTAAGGAAGGCATTATGGTAATTGCTATCAAATTGCAATTTACCTGTCCTTAGTCCCAGCAATTTCACTTCTCAGGTTTATCCTGCGTACACTCTAGCCCATGTACAAAATAACCTATGTACAAGTTTTTTCATCACAGCATTGTTTGTATTAGGTTGTCAGGAAAGTCATAACACATTTTTGCATAAGAAAACAGAAATATACCTGATTTTTTTTTGCTGACAATAGTTACAGAGACTGGTAACCAATATATTTCACTTGTAACCAATATATACTGGTTACATGAATTACAGTACATGGATCAAAGAAAGGATTATTCCAGAACTACTCAAATACTGAAGACGCTGCTCTGTATGTACTGATATGGGACCATCTCCAAGATCTATAATTAAATCAAGAGGTAAAGTTGTAAAATAATGAGATTGGTCAGATTGATTAGTATGATGAATAATATATAACAGTTATGTTTTAAATATTTCTACAAAGATTTTAAGACATTGATGATATGGGTTGCCTTTTTCATGAAGGGAGATTGCATGGCCTGGTGCAAATGTGAGAGGAAAATTTTTTTTTAGGAGAGGTTTTTCCATGCACTTGCTGGAAAGACAGAGAGACAGAAAGCAAGAAATCACCCTTCGGGAGATGGCCACTCCGCAATATCTTTTCCTCCATTCTCCTTTTGGGATCTTGGGCACGCACACACACATGCCCAGCGTGAGTTTAAGCCACCGGGTCTAGGACTCAAATCACAGTCAACTACATGGAAGTCCAGTGACATATCCATTACGCCAACTGCTGGTCTCGAGAGGAAAATTATTTTACAGTCTACCATTTTTGTCTTCTAAATTTTGAACCACTTATATATATTAGTTATTCAAAAGAATGAGAACTCTTCCAAATTATAACAATGTAAAAATATTCAAAGTCTGGCTTGTTACTTGTAATATTATGGCTAAAAATAGTATAATGAGGACCCAATTTCTCTTTCTTGTACTTGAAGTTTACCTCCTGTCTGTTCACATCAAAAATGAAACAAAATATACCCTTTTGAGTAGGAGTTTTCTGTTACTACTGAGCTTATTGAGTCCCCCTTCCCACAGTCTAATCTTGCTTATCTTTGGTTTGAGGCTAGCCTAACCAAGCAGCAAGTGGTTTTAGAAAGAAGTGTTTTTAAAATTTCTTCTTGCTCAAAAACAAGCCTAACAGTATGTGTCTTCAAATGTTTTTGCATGTGTAATACAGACAAAATTAGAGTACAGTTTAATTAATTTCGATTTTAAGGATTTGGGGCAAGTGATTCCAAAAGCTGGAAGTATGATGGTCGTCTCATTTTCTCTTTCAGATATTAAACACCGCCGAATTCCAATCTTATTCTTTGCGAACAAAATGGATCTTAGAGATGCAGTGACATCTATAAAAGTATCTCAGTTGCTGTGTTTAGAGAACATCAAAGATAAACCATGGCATATTTGGTAATGTGTTATATTTATTTTTTATTTTATCTTTGTGAAAATATTTCTAAGCTTCAGGAGTGTTTTTCCTGCTTCATTTTTTAATGAACATGATAAGATTTAAGCTAAGGGTTTTGTTTTATCCAAGTGGCAATACATGTATTCATGAATATATTAGTGTTAAAATAATTTCAAACCTTTTTGAGAACAGAAAAATATTAATAATTCCTGTATGAGAGCACTTAAACAGCCTGTTTACTTACCTGACTTCAACCACATAGATTTCTTTCCATGTGAAATCAGCCAATCATAATTCTACCTCAGGGCATCTGCACTTGTTTCCTCTGCCCCCTTGTCATTCTCTGAATTTATGTTCCTGGTGTGCTATTGTACTTTCTTCAGAAGGGTCACAATTAACAGGTCACAACTTTTGCTTTTCCTTTTATTTTTTTCAGTTTTTTTTTGGTTTTTAGTCGTCTTCCTGTGCTAGTGCATTAGCTCCTTGAGAACTGAGTTTGTCAGTTTCGTTCACTTGTGTAACCTCCTACGATAATGATAGTACTTGGTATGTAATAGGTATACAGTAAGTGTTTTTAAATGAACAAATAGAAACAGGACTATCGATTTTATTTGGGCATACAGTTGAACTCCTAAATAGTGTCAGAATTTATTGTGCATTGTTTACTTGGCAAACAGTCTCTTTCTAATGTAGTTAACTCCAATTTGACTTTCAGAATATCCTAACAATGTTCATCAGAGATTACATATTACATAGTATATAACACTTCTTACTACTTTTCTGAAGCTCCTTTTTACACATCTACCTCCTTCTGTTCTAAAATGTCCTTCTCTGCCAGAATTTTCCTCTTTTTATGAGAAAGTTTCTATGGGGAAAAGTTGGACACAGAAGCAAAGAAATTCACTGCCTACTGAATTGGGGCTAGAAGGTGAAAACAAGGGAGTAGCAGAGTTTAGAAAAGAATTTTAAGAGCTTGCCTTGGTCCTGAAAGAGTAATAGTATAGTGTAGAGCTTGGGAAAGCTTTTCAGACTCCCCTGTACTCAAGGCCTCCACCCAGGAGTGAAATACTGCATATCTTGAAAATTGTCCTTCATGATCAGAGGAAAAGTCAATGTTTATGAAATTTCTTGAGTTGGAATTTGAGGTCTTAAGGTATTTGGCTGGTAGAGAGGGGTGGAATTTTGGATAGACAAACATCTTGATGTAGAACCTTTGTACTCTGTATCATATCTAAATTAATTACCTCTGAAGTAGAATAATTTTTAATTTTTACACTGTATTAAATGTTATGACTGCCTTTATTGAAAATCAAACATTCAAAAATGGATCTAATTACAAAATGCCCTCTTTCTACTTAAAATAATGAATTACTGAATTTTACCAGATGTCTTTATTTAATTGTAACATGTCAGTATGCTTTTGTGAGAGAAAAAAATGATATCCTGATGCTATAAGGAAGTGGAATGTCATATTACCAGTTTCTAGATTTTTTTAATACAATTGACAGAATACCAAGTAGTTCTGATAAACTTATCTGTAATTTTGATACCTCTGTTCAACCTAAACATCTCCCCGCTAAATTCAAGTTAGTGTTTCATTTTTTAAACTTTGTTCTTCTTCTTCTTTTTTTTTTTTTTTGGCAATTATTTTATGAGAGAATAAGAGTGGGAGAGGGAGGGAATTGAAGAGAGACAGGCATTCCTTGACAGGGTCTCCCTGTGTAATGATTTTCCTGTCCCAGCCTCCCAGTTGGCCAGGACCACAGGTGCATGCCTCCAACCAGTTTTTAGTTTTGGCCAAGAACTGAACCCAGGGTTCCCATGCAGCCTCAGCAACCACATCACAGTGTTCTTCCACTTGTGCTGTTGTGGATGGGCCTGCAGTACTTTTTAAATAATGTGGCAAATTGAAAACATATGTATCCTTCTTTTCTTTTTTTTTTTTATAAAGGTAATTAATGCTCAGTGATACAGAGAAAATATTGCCTCTCTCTTGCTTAAATACAAATTACATTTGCAGGGCAATAAAGAAAATACCACAAAGAAGTATAGTCTGAGAAATTAGAGGAAGATGTGGTTTATTTGTTACCATCATACTAAACATATGGTCAACTCTAATTTTCAGGGTTTGATTATGTTACTCTACTCAGGTAGAGTCCTTTGACTCAGTCTTTGGCACAGAATTCACTTATTAGCCTGTGGGGAAGCCAAATAATGAGTAGATAAATGTATAAAACATCAGCTGGATAGATGAAATAAAATAAAGAACAATAAGAAAAAGAATAATAGAGAGTTGTTTCTTCTCTCAGACCTAACTGAAGTCAGGAGCAACTCGTGAAAATTTGGAGGAATAATTGTCTAGATAGAGGGGCCAGCAAGAAAAAGGCCCTTTTTGGAGGAGAGTGTGCCTAGTGTGTTCCAAGAACAGAAAAAGTTTCAGGCTACCTGGTGTAGAACAGTCTAGGGGCATGTGATGTGTAGGCTGTGAAGCCATTGAGAAATAACCAGGGCCCATATCACACAGGTTCTTGTAGAATTTGAAGACTTTGGCTTTCATTCTTATGATTCTTCTGAAAGGAAAGGTAGACTCCAAATTGTTGGGACTTGTTAGAAAAAGATTTGGGGCTTTTAGTAGGCTAGCTATACCTCCACCAGAGGGGTAGGATTGATTTTCATCGTAACACTTGTTTGGGACTATATGTGTGTGGTCAATAGCTTGATTTTTCTTAGTTTAAGTTTTGCAGCTACTGATATTTTGCTTTTACTATAGATAACCAGTAATTTGCTTTGAGTAATTGCAAATCTCATACTGTTGGTTGATGTCTTTCTATTCTAAAATAACTATGATAAGCCATATTTTAGTCTAATAATTTTCTTTGAGGTGATTTCTCCTTTAGAATTAGAATCCAATTCTTTTATGTATTTTATTACATTTTAAACTCATGCTTCAGCATACTAAAAGGAATCCTAACCAAAAAATCTAATTATATGTGTTAATTGCTATTATACAATCACCGTTTGAAAATAAATCACTAGTAGCATGCTATGAGAAACTATCAGTCTTCATCTTTGAAAAAATAATTTGATACTTTAAAAGTCCTCTGCAGTTTTTAGTTTATATAACTTAATTATGATTATATATAAAAGTTACAATATAAAACTATGCTTAAAATCCACTGAGGTTTTATTTTATTTTACCACCTTTACCAAAGCTATGATTATGGATTTATGTCCTGTAGGGAACAAATTTCATTTCAAATAAAGTTGCTTCTTCCTATGATTATGTTAGAATCTCTATCAAGCATTTCTAGTAAGTAAATGCTGTTGAACCATTGAGGCCAGGTATAGTAGGATGGTGGACTCTATAAAACTTTTTTACCACTGGGACCAGCAGTTAGCGTAATGACTATGTTGCTGGACTCCCACATAGTCAACCGCGGTTCACGTCCTGAATCCGGTAGCTTAAAACTCACGCCGGGCGCATGTGTGTGCGTGTCCAAGATCCCGAGAGGAGAATGGAGGAGAAGGGATTGTGGCGTGGCCATCCCCCCTGGGGGGGTGATTTCTCACTTTCTGTCTCTCTGTCTCTCTGTCTGTCTGGCGAGCGCACGCACCCTATAGCAAAAAAAAAAAAGAAAAAATTTTTACCACTGAAATAATAACTCAAAAGTCTATGCTTTGTTTATGTCAGTCTAAGTACTATTCCTAGGGTAATAATCTTTAATGGTACAGTTTTCAAAACATGTATACAAATTATGAATAATTTATTCATATCTTGCTCCTGAGCAGACTTTCATTTCCTATTTACCTTCTATTTAAATGCTTAACTCATTTTGCTCAGATATTTTATTAGAGTATAGTTTACCACGTGGCAAAATTGTAATCCTCTATTCTTGTAGTTATATGATGTAATGAAATGGATATATTTCTTATGAATTTATTTCAGTGCTAGTGATGCCATAAAAGGAGAAGGATTGCAAGAAGGTGTAGCCTGGCTTCAAGGTACATCACAAAGTACTATGACTCTTCAGCCTTTGTTTCCTTTCCACTCACATTTTTGTTTCCTTTTTGATATTTTATTTTTATTATATCATTGCCTTTTTCCTCTTGTTTCCATTTATTTCTGCTGTCAGAAAAAACAGTACAGTAAGTATCCAATACCTTGCTCCACTTACTTCTATTGATTTTTTTTTCTAAAAGATTTATTTAAATAAAGTGTCTGAATATCTTTACAGTTAATATATACAAAAGTGTAGAAAACAATTTTAATTTATGGTAATAAATTTCTCTCAGATCTAGTAATGGAAGCACATTTGTAATTTGGAACAAATGTTAGCCTTACTATTAAAGTAAGTCTGAATGGCATAGATCTTTTAAGAATAATACTGTACTCCATATATACCTCTATTTCTGCATAACATGTAAATAGAATTTTAAGGCTTGTATTTATTAATTGTATTATACATACTGGTATTCTATTGATGTTTTGTATATTGGCAGTTTTTGTTAGTCATCGAAATAATTATCATAGGTTGGTTATAGGCTTACTATTTCAAGGAATAAATGAAGATATATAATTTTTCCCAAGATTACATTGTCTACTAGCCAAAGGAAAGTCTTGAAACATACAGAGCAACAGATAGATGCAAATGAAACCAAATTCTTTAGGTCCTTATTGAAGGATTTAATGGTCAGTTCAAAAATGTCCAATTGTGTGCACTGAAGGTCATTCCTATTAGGTAGCTCCCTGCCTTGAACAAGGGTGCATGACAAGGTATAAATTCTGCTTGTAATCTTGAAGTATGAATCCTTCCTGCACTAACCTTTTAAAGCCAGTTCTATGTGGTTTCTTTTTTTTTCTATATGTTGGCAACAATAGCAGGGATATAGCACATGGCAGGCAAAACAGCCTGCCTGCCCATATATAAAGGCATGTTTCTTTGGTTTAAAGTACTTAATGTACATTTCATAAATATTTGTATGTGCTATTAGTATAATATTGTGTTCTAGTTAACTTCTTAGGATATTGTATTTTTATCTCTTAAGCATGTGATCTAATGAAATTTACAATTAGACTCTAAGAACAGTCTAATCATTTTATAATTAAGTGGAAATTAATTGAGAACTTATAGTGGCTTTCAGATTTTTCTGTGACCTCATCAACCTAATTTCTTATACTATTGTAAAGAAGTAGTCAAGATTATGAAATAGATTCTCACCAGAAACAAATAGGTTACAGAAGAACATTGCAGAAAATATACCAGAAACATACTTTGAGCCTTGTTTTTTAATTTAGAAGTAGTAACGATTGCTCACAGTGAAGACATAGTATGGCTGGAAACCCTACTGTCATTCATAATAAAGTAATTCAAAGCATAGTTCTTACTGAAAATAGGATACAGATCATCTGGACTTTAAATTATACCTCTTGCATGTCCTTTTTTCCTCATTTTGTCTGTAGCAAGCAGGCCACTAGGTGTCAGTAATGATCCAGCATCATAGTACCAATTGCCACCTATGCTCTGCCTAGCCTAATTTTTATTTCTTTGATTTTTCTTATCAATTATCTCTCTTACTTCCCAAGTATTTTTAAGGAGGACACATTGTTAGAAATACCTTTCTGTCCTTACGTTGACATATTTACATATTTATGACCTTTCACAATAGTACTCTGAAAGGTAAGTCATAGTATCTCCATTTTATAAAAGTCAGCAGAACTTGGGCTTTTAAGTCCAGCAGCAGCTTTATTCCACCAGCTATCATTAACTCTTACGTATTAGCTAGCATCTCTTATTATCTTATGAAGGTGATTTTTTTCATCTGTAAAATTAAAAAATAAAATATTGTAAATTGTTGTATACATTAAATTAGGTATTCTATGTGTTAAAATCCCTATCACAAGAAAGCACTCAATAAATGTCAGATTTACCCTCTTACCTAACGACTCTACTGAGCAGAAGAGGAAACTAAGTAGATCGTTTTGAAAGTGGTGTGAGTTCAGACTTGAATAGGAGATCATAGTTTCCATGTAGTATTAAATAGTTTACATTTCGATATTCCTAATTGTCATTCTGAATTTGAAGAGAGGTAAGAACCTATTGTGCAGTCCAACTGCAGTATTGCATGCTGCTAAGACATTGGCCTTCACAGGCTTTGACCACATGAGAGTACTGGATTCAGTTCCTGGCCCAGTTTACAGACTGGACTCAGTGGCATGTGCTGTAATCCCAGCTCATTGGGAGGCTGAGGTAGGAAGGTCATGTCTCAAGGCCGGCCTAGCAACATAGTGAGGCCCTGTCTATAAAAGAACAGGGCAAGGTCATTCACACCTGTGGTCCCAGCTGGGAGGCTGAGGCAGAATGATTGTGACACGATGAGACCATGCCTTCTTTTTTAAAAAGAAAACTCTTTTGCAAAGTAAGTAGCAGAAAACATAGGCAACTAATCTGCGCCTGTAAATTATTAGCTAGTGGCATTTTTGTAAATCTAACTGTGACAATGTTCTGAACTTATATTCCTTCATTTTGCTTCTAGAATTCTGAAATTTCCTAGCATGGTAAACAAGGCCTTTGATTCATTTTTGTACCAATTTAATCTTAATATTTAAATTTAAGGTTGGAAAAATTGGGTGAAATGTTAAATGACACATTTAATGGTCATTCTCTCATGGTAAAGTTCTCAATAATTGTGAATAACAAACCAAAGACAAGAACCCATACTAGACAATGAGGTCTTTTTTAAAAAACCACTACATAATACACAGAACTTGTTACAGAGCCAAAAATTATCTAGCTCTGAAACTTTCAAATGGGGTATTCTTAAAAAGTTATGTTCCCAAATAACTAATTAAACTTACTCATTTGATCACTTTATCTTTATAAAAAAATTAATAATTCACATTTTAATGTTAAACTTTTATAAACTATGTGTCTGGGTTTTCCAATGAAAGGTAGAAGATTGAACACATATACTTCATTTCATTCCCTCTTCAAATCTCAATAACAGTAAAAAGACTTCTTTTTTAAGATGTTGTTAACCTGGGGACCAGCAGGTGGCATGATGGTCAAGGCACTGGACACTCCCACATGGCTGACCACGGTTCAAGTCCCAGACCTGGCGGCTTGCTTTCTCACTTTCTCTCTCTCTCTGGTCAAATTAAGATAAATGAATGAATAAATAAAAATTAAATAAAATCATTTTTAAAAAGATGTTAATGTAAACATGAAAAAAGAATGGAAATGGTGAAAATAGCAACCAAATTTTAGAAGCTGGATATCTGATAAATGTTGAATAACTTAACAGACCTGAGAAAGCTGAATTCTAAACTAGCACTGGAGAAATCTGGAAAGCAGCCTAATTTACATTGGACATTCTCCCAAAGGTATAGAAATTGGTGGAAATTAAAAATAAAGATGAAGTGGTGTTGAAAAAAGAAGATGCAATTTTATTCTCTGCAAAGAATCAAACAGTTTTTCAGAACTGGGGGGAAAGAAAGGCATAATTGCATGTGGTAATGCTGAACTGAAAATGAGACATAACTAGAAGTTTTCATAATGAATATTGTAACTCTCGTCTACCTTCTACTTCTCCCAGAAAATACTGGCAGTAGGCAGGAGAAAGGAAACATCAACTTTGAGGAATCTGACCAGCTGAAGAAAAAAGACCTAAGGGCATTAGTATTGAAAATTTCTAAGAAAATGTCTTAGTCACACTAAAATGCAGACCATATTTGACAGTCCTTACACAAATTTCCGTAGTCCAATCAGCTTTTTAATGTTCTCATTTGTATGAAGATGACACAGGACCACCAAGCATTTGAGAATTAATCATGAAATAGGACAATATAAACAAACAAATTAGAGGAAGTAAAATTTATGTAGGGAGAACATTTCAAAAGCCCATTAGAGCGTATCTTCAAGGAGATGAGAGTACTACTTTCATAAATTTGACCAGGATACTGCTTGAAAGAGACGAAGAACAAAGAACTAAGTTCTTTGGAGATAATAATAGAAATGGAAAACTCAATAAAAAGACAAAATGTAGGTAGTATAAAAAAAATAGAGCAAAAAAAAAAAAGAAAAAGAAGAATAGGGAATCGGAGCAAAAAGAAAGTCAAGGTCATGTGTAGGAGACTGGATATTCAAATAACCGGAAATTCAGCAAGAAGGAACAGAAAATTGGTGGGTAGCAAATCATCAAACACTAATTTAAAGAACCAAATAGTGAGTTTTCACTTGAAAGTCCTATCAAGAGCTCTTGCAGTGGATGAAAATATTCCCACACCAAGGTGCATTATTATTAAAATTTAATGTTGAAGACAATTAAGATTTTACAAGCTTCCTGAGAGGGGAAAAAAAAATGAGGTTTCATGTAGAAGATAAGGAAACAGTAACGTCAAATTTCTCAACAGCAACAACTAGGAAGCTAAGAAGGCAAGGCCTGGTAAAGTCCAAGGAGCAAATGATGAAATTATATTCTTAGGCAATATCAATATATTGAGTAGGTTAAAAAAATTATAGTATGTAAAATCTCAAGATATGATAAAAACAAAACTATAATACAAATTGTACTTTAAAAATATAGGCGTAAGGCTGACCCTGTAGCCTAGTGGTCAAGGGAACCAGGTCTCATATGACCAAAGGCAATCTGAATCCCAGCTCTGGTGCCTTAAGAAACATGTCAGGTGTGTAGAGATGCGTGTCCAGAATACCAAGAGGATGAAGAAATAGAGAAGGGATTGCAGCGTAATCACACCCCACTGGGGGATGCGCTATCTTTCACTGTCTCTCTCTGATGAGCACATTTCCTCTCTGATAACTAAAAAAATAAAAGAAAAAATGGTGTATGCATGTTGTATAGATTTGTCTTGGATTATTTTAGAAAATAGGTTTTGCCCTGTAAAGACTGTTCATTTTTATTTGTTTGTTTGTTTGTTTTTGTTATCAGATCAGATCCAGGCGGTGAAGACATGAAAAGATAGTATTGGGAAACCTCAGCACTTTTCTGTTCAAGAAATTTATCTAAGGCAACTCAATACTTCAACTTTTTAAAAAGATGTTTGTGCATCTAAGAATACTTTATAATCTGCTTACATTTATGGACTCTGAATGAGCTTTTTAAGAACATAGACTTCAGGTATGCTAATCTGGCCATTCATTATATGAAAACTAAATATTCCCTGAAAAGGGCTCCTTAGAATTATCAGCTCCTTGGTAAAGGCCTACATTTGATTGCAATTAGAACGTGTAAAACTTAAGAGTTATGAGCCATCTCAATATTTACCCATCATGATTTATATCCTTAATGTTTTTTTATTTTTTGAATTATCTTTTTTAAAACTTAGTTTACTGTATGACTGCATTATGAATTGTGCTTGTGCAAAAGAACCTTAAATATTTATAAGGGGCTGTGGGTAATTAATATATATTAAATTTTTACTATGTGTCACCATCAATAAAACATAAAATGTAATATATCAACTAGTGTGCTTTCTTTAATGCTGGAAAAAATAATGTTGTTTTACTATGCTGTTTGGTGTTTTATTGTTAAGCACTAGTAATTGGTCAGAGACCCAAGTTAAGCTCGGTTTATTTATTCAGTGTATAATGAATATTTCTACACCTACGAAACAGTTGTGATACACAGCAATGGTAATAACAAGGTAAATAAAACATATTCCTTATCTTCAGAGAACTTAAAACTTAGGGAGAATTTGAGAACCTATTCTCTTTTTCTTAAAATTTTTTTCAAGAGGATATGTGTGCTTGCCAGAGAGAGAGAGAGAGGGAAAGTAAGAAAGCACCATCTTGTGGGGGATGGTCATACCACAGTCCCTCTTCACATCTTATTTTGGGATTTTGGGCATGCATGTAAATGCATCTGTTATGTTTTTCAAGCCTTCTGGTTCAGGACTCTTCCTGCATAGTTGGTCGTGTGAGATCTAGCCATCTTAATCACCACACCACAAAATGACCCCAAAAACTTTTTCATACATAGTACTTTATTGACTAAATAAAAATCACTTAAAAACTGCACTGAAATTCCTAAGTGTTTTTTCATGTTTAGACATCCCTATGCTCTAACGTTTAATTCATTAATATCTACATTTGAATGTAGCACCTTGTAAAATGTTCAAAACTTATTCTATCATGTATTTTGCATTTCAACATTTTAATATGGCTGTATGTATCCTGTGCTTTATAGAGCACAAAGGACTGAGTTTTTTGGTTTTTTGCTTGTTTGGTTGTTTTGTTTTGTTTTGTTTTGTTTTGAGAGGTTTTTGCTACAGGGTGTGTGCACTCGCCAGAAAGCAGAAAGACAGACAGAGACAGAAAGACAGAAAGCGAGAAATCACCCCCGCCCCATGGGGGATGGGCATGCCTCAATTCCTTCTTGTCCATTCTCTTCTTGGGATCTTGGGCACGCAAGCACACACACCCAGAGTGAGTTTAAGCCACTGGGTCTGGGACTCGAATGGTGGTCAACTACATGGGAGTCCAGCAACATAGCCATTATGCCAACTGCTGGTCCCACAAAGGACTGAGGTTTATGTATTCATTTTTTCATTTATAGATTGTCTGCTAAACATTATGAATTTTTCCTGTGCTTAATAATTTTTTTTTTTTTTTGGAGAGGTTTTTGCTATAGGGCGCATGAGCTCGCCAGACAAAGACAGAAAGTGAGAAATCACCCCCCAAGGGGGATAGCCACGCCGCAATCCCTTCTCCGTTCTCCTCTCGGGATCTTGGGCACGCACGCACATGTGCCCAGCGTGAGTTTTAAGCCACTGGGTCTGGGAAGTGAACTGCAGTCGACTACGTGGGAGTCCAGCAACATAGCCATTACGCTAACTGCTGGTCCCTTCCTTTGGAATTTTTAATACCGTGTTGCGATTTTCAGAAACATGTGCAGTTACTCTTTGGAATACTTGTTTTTGTCAGTTTGAACTGCTAAAACAAAGTACCATAGAATGGGTGGCCTATAAACAACAGAAAGCTATTTCTCACAGCTCTGAGGGCTAGCACTGTGAGATCAGGGTGCCATAATGGTTGGTTGTGGTGAGGGCCGTCTAGTTACAGAGCACCATATTCTCATGTTCTCACAAGGCAAAGAGAGGGCAGGAGGGTTCTTGGGGGTTCCTTTATAGGAGCAGTGATCATATCATGTCATCACATCGTTTCTCCTTAAGGATCTAATTACCTCCCAATATCATATTGGGTTATAATTTTAATATACGAATTTTAGAAGAACACAAAACATTAAGTCAACTGCAACACTTAACACAAATTCATCCTGCTTTTATCTTGGGTATATTAAAATAATACCTCACTTTAATTATGCCTATTTACTGCTTCCTGGTTATTACTCCTTCCTTTCTTTCTTTTTAATTTGCCAGAGGGTATGTGTGGTCACTAGAGAGAGAGAGGGAGAGCATCCCTTATGGGGGATGGTCGCACCACTACCCCTTCTCCATTTGTCCTTCAATTCAGAGTCTTTGGCATGTTTTTCAAGCTACTGAGTCCAGGACTTGAACGGTGCAGTTGACCATGTGGGATCCAGTTGCCTTAACCACTATGCCAGTGGGGCCCCCACTCCTATTTCTTAGTTTAAAAACATGAATGATATTAAAAGTTCACATAAATTAATAGGTTTCTATACTTGTATAGCTGGAAAGAAATACAGTAGTTGTTTTTAAGTGGTTACTGTGTTTAATTGAGTGATTTAGGTAATTTAGTTACTGCATTTCATAGCGACCCTTCTTTAGTCTAGGTGCTTCTGCTTGAGTTGGCAAGGTACGGCCTCAGAGTCATTACTCTCTCTCCTTCTGATCAATTTTATACAATATTAAAAGGCATACCTTGTTAAACTTCCTTTCTGGTGATTTAGAATAAACCAGGTAGTGACTTACTGCCTATCCACCACTGTGGGTAGGCCCAGAATCTGTTCATGACCTCTATGTGACTTCTCAAAGAAGATAAATATTATTCTCAAATCAAATAGAACAATTTGAAAGTATTTCTGAAATATTTTTTCTTCCCCAGTAGAATATAGTCTTGGCCTTATGAAGTGTCTTTTTTTTTTCCTTTAAAGTGACAAGAAAGGGCAGATTCTGAAGCACCAGACATACTTATTTTTTTGAAGTATAATATAATCACACATAGATATTGTCCCAAGCTTCTGGCTTAATGTTCAAGATTAACTCATGATTTTTATTTCCATCTTGAGATAAATGATACTAGTATTGATGGTCTTGAAACATAAACAGTATAATGGACTAGGCCCAGAATTCAGTCTCTTTCTTACTCTCTTATGCAAAAGTTTATAAATCCATATATTTATGATATCTCATAATGTTATTGCAAAATATTACTGAAGCAGGTTGATGTTTCCTCCAGTTAAATATAATCATTTCTGTTGAAGTTAAGCCAATTTTACATTCAAGCTCTATCTCCTTGGACTAAGGGTAATGTGTATGTATCAGGTTTCACTGTCTTAAGGTCATAGGATGCTCACACTTTACTTACTTTGGAAAGTTAGTACGAACTTCTTGACAACTTTCTTGGCAGATTTATAGATATATGTTGCAAATATGTTATTCTTACCCCATTTTAGGGGCTTTGTTTGTTTTATAATTCTTAAATGTAATATATCAGCTCTTTTGTCATTTCTGGGAATGTACTACCTATTGGAATTTTTAATTCATCTTTTAGATTCTGGGTTGTTATTGTCTTAAAAACTGTCCACTAGTTGAGTGAGTTACAGTTTCATAAACTATCAATCTTTTTTTATATTGTAAAACCCTCATAGTATAGTTTTATTTCATTTATACATAGTAAAGCAAGATTGTTTAAGAATTAATAAGTTTTCCATGGCTATTATCAACATATGGTATCTTGTTAATGTTAAAATTTCTCCTTTTAAATATGAAATCTATCTATCTCAGGAGTATTTTTTAACTGTCGGTGGTATGTTTGCCAATTAAAGGAAATGTTAGTCTCTTTATTTAAAGACGAAAGACAGTATTCGTATGCTAATTATATTTTCAGATAAATGAGAAGACCTCAATATATGGAAAAATGAAATTAATGTGCGAGTTTATTTTGGTGAAAAAATCCTTTGAAGTTCATGCCTAGTTTTTTCATAATATTCATTTTCTTTAAACATTTTGAAGATCCTTTGAAGGGGCTAGAATCAATGTATAGGCATATATTAAAATAAGACCCTAGTCAACTTAGATCAGAAGAAATAATAATATAACTCCATAATTATAAAGGAGGAACCCAAATTCTTGTTTACTCTTTCTTCTTCCAGAGAGTAGTATATAGTGAGAAGGGACGGTAGGTCCTCGGATTAGACTCTGATCTGGTCCTATTTTCAAGATAATAACCGTTTCAAATTGCTTCCAAGTCTGAGTGGCGTCAGTGAATAGATGACTCTAATGGTACACTTGCTTACTCCACTTCTGGAAGCCAGAAAGTGAAGTTAGAGGCTAACATGACCATGCATGATAATGTAAAGCTCTTCCCAGACTATATTTTTTAAACAATTTTTTTGTAGTTGTTTTTCACAAATTGTTCTAAATTTTGACTCAGTATTTATTTTAGAGAGGTGCATGTGAGCCTGGTTTGCAAGGGCAATAGTTGTATTCTGCGTGTTTGAGACTATTATAATCCTTTATTAAGGAACTTTATTTATTTAATATTTTTCAATACCCTAGTCATTACTTTTAATACCTTTGCACCAACAGAAAAGCCAGTTGCTAGGGTTCCCCATAGAAAGTCAACATATTCTATTAAACTATATGACATTGCCATTTTACAGGATCAAAGCAGCTGAATAGCAGTTTATATGGTTCAATTGAGATCGCCTGGAAACTTCTGGATGACCTTATTTTTCAATATGAGATAGAGAAATTCATTGGGAATACCTAGGCAGCCAGAACCATGCCTGGCACAGAAGGAACCTGTAGTAAAAAATAGCATAATACTTTGCTCTTTCATACCTCAAACTAAGCTCAGATTCTCTCATGCTCACTGTCTTCTATTTCAGCTGCCATTGCCTATAGCGTTCAGCCAGTTCTATGTAGGTATAACCTCACTGTGTCCCCACGTTATGCCCAGGGCTCTCGTTCCCCATTTTGGAACTGCCCTATTTTTGTTCCCATGCTCCCAACACTGCCATTCCCAAACATACATAGCCCAGCAGGGGGAACCATTGACCAGTCAGAGACAGGAGCCAGTAAATCATTTTTTTTCTTGTTTGGCATTACTCATGGACAGTCTTGAGACTCACTATGTATTTTCCCAGATGAATGCTCTGAACAATTAGTCATACTTAGCAGCAGCCAGTTCAATAGCATATCCTTGTATTGCCTCTCCTTAACCTGCTTCATAGTTTTTGTAACTTTACTCTCTAATAAAGTGAGTGGCATGAAGTCCCTCT